GCTTCTGCCTGCACAGGGCTGGGCCTGCAGTGTGTCCCTTTATGGTGGCGCCATGGGGGTCCTGCGGCTCCCACATCTGCTCACGGGCTGGGAGCTGGGGGGAGAGGGTATTGCAAATGGCTTATCTCTGAACTGCTTGTTGGATTGTTAACTGCCCTCCAGGTCCCAGATGTGCTCCTTATTACTGCATTTTCCTCCAACACCTCTCGGGCTCGAAACCTGGATTTTCTCTTACCTTTTCCTTCTCCCTCATCTGCCACCCAGCTCAGCTCCAAATGCCATCTGTTTTCCCTCCCTGTTAATCGTGGTTTAAGATCTTTTTGTTCTTGCCACAACTCATTCAAGCCCGGTTGGCTCACGCTGGGCTGAGTGTGTGTTTCTCAGCAGCCTCCTCATCTCCTCCCCTCCTCCCCTTTGCCCTCAGCCCTGCAGCTGGGTGGGCTCCCCTTGAGGCATTTCCCACCCTTGCTCTGGAGCCCTCCATGGACTAGCCTCTGCAGGATGAGGAAAAAACTGCAGCCTGCAGGGTGATGGATTTTGTTTGTCCTTTACAGGATTTTAAGGAATTGTTAACCAACTTTTAAAATATTGTGATAGTTTTATATTAAAAATCTGTATTTTCAACTTCTCCTGAAAAGTTAGAAAATCTGGAGGCACTAAGCACACGTTCCTAAAAGGAAGGTCACAATTGGCAGGAATGGAGTGTTCTTTGCTGTCTTTCTTCAGGGCATGTTTTCTCCAGTTTGCCATGCTCCCCACTACTCCTTATAGCGCCCCCAGGCTACCTTAGTGCTCATTTCTGTTACCTGTCTGCTTGCCATCAGGCATTAAAATTGGCAGCACAGAGCTGGGTGACTTCCAGGCCAAGGACCTCTTTACAAGCCATGTTTACAACTCACATTGTATTTTTGTCTCCTGTGTACCATTTTGCCTTTTGTGGGTGATCTCCCTCCCCCTCTAATCCTGTCCAAATCCTGCCACTCCTCAAAGCTAGCTTATGCATTCCTTGGTGAAACCCTCCCAGGCAGCCCTCGGTGGAAGGTTTCCCTCTCCTTAATTTCTCAAGCACTTGGGGTTTGTCTTTCTCTTTTGGTGCCATGTTATTTTGTTTTGAGCTTAGACTGACAGTCCCACCTGGGCAGAGTCTCACAATGCTGGACCCACAATGCCTTGCATATGGTGGATTCTCAACAGATGTATGACCAGGAAGATGCATGGTCATGATCAAGGGGCTTGTTCTGTGGGTACCAACAGGAAGGCCTCTGACTAAAAGGGAGGTATGTTAGCTGGTGACTTAGCCCAGGGATCCTTAAGAGATGATTTCACTTACTGTCACCAGAACCACTATTTCACTTGGAAAAGGGACCCTGAAGATATTATTTCACTTACTGTCGCCATTACCACTGATCTATTTTTAATGTGCGGAAATCCTCAAACGCAACTAAACTCTGGGACATCAGAGTGAGCTGTAGCTGTGGTTACTCCTTTGTCAACGGTGTGATCTATCACTAAAGTTATTTATTCAGTGACACTGCGCCATACATTTAAAAGCGCTAAAGAGTACTTCAATCAAATGTAGAATATTTCTGCACTCCTCATTAGATATTTTAAATACCAAATATACATAGGATTCTCTACTTGATACTAGATCAGTCTTTGCTCCCCAGGACTCTCCCATGTGTACCTCCATGACTCATGTCTCTATGTCATTGTGCCCCATGGTTTGGTTTTGGCATCACCGACCTTCAGAACACACCCTTGCTCCACCCTCCTGGCATGCATGCTGAGCTCGGACTCCTAGCTATTGACAGATCAGGGTGGGGGTAATGAGAAGCATCATAGGTTGGTAGAAAGTGTGCATGCCCAATAATTGTTATAATTACTCAGTTGGTGAAGACAGTTCGCACCAGGAAAGCCAAGCCTAGGTTCTCCCTGCCACATACCCTTGGTAATGGTAGTGACCTTGTGATGCGGGGCATTTTCTTTACTCTGTCAAGCTCCTTTGAGAGGGAAGGAGGCTTTGCTTCCCAATGTCTGGGCCAGGGGGTAAGTGGGCTCTAGGGCAGTCCTGTCCAATGGAATGAAAGGGTCTACATCTGTGCAGGAGCCACAGGCCACATGTGGCCCCTGGGCACTAAAATGTGGCTGATGTGACTGAGGAACTGAATTTTTAATTGTATTTCATTTAGTGAATTATAATGAAAATACCACATGTGGTTGCCATATTGGACAGCCCAGATCTCGAGGGTTGGAGAAAATGGGCCAAATGTAGCATCTGAGGAAGAGCTGAGTGCATTCCTAATGAGAGTATTGCAGATGCCTCCCGCGTGGGTGGGACTCTGTGTTGCTGCACAAGTGAGGGCCCATTTGACCGAATTTGGCAGGGCATCAAAGCTGGATAATGTTTGCAGGGAAACGCATTGCTGTACTGTTCTGAGGAGAGCATTATTTACTTATTCTTTCATTTCCTTTAAGAATAGCAGACATTGGGCTTCCCTTAGCTGTGACTCCTTGAGCAGGTTCTATATCCTGCTTCCTGTGCTCGAGGACATTGAACCTTAACTTAAATACAGACTTTGTGTTCACACCTAATATTAATGCCAAACCCACACGACTGTTTTGGGGAAGGAGTGGAGAAACTGAGGAGGATTCTGTGTAGATCGTTAGATAGAAATCTGTGGGCTTATTTCTTTCACTTAGCTTTTCTTGGGTAGAATCAGCTGAAACTGGCTGTGGGTATTTTGGCCTTATATGGTAGTTTTTAAAGCTACACTGTGCTGTGGATGTAACCGAAATAATCTCTAACCACATTTACCAGAACATACCCCAGTGTGCGCTGGGCTCTGCTCCGAGGGGCCGATGGCCATTGGTTCGGCATTCATTGGCCTGGGGAGGTTCCCTGTGGGCTCCGCCCACACTGGGGCTCCCCAGCTGTGGCCTGTGTTTGTGGACTGCTGGCTGTTTCAGAATCTAGTGAGATTCTCTGTTGATGTTTCAGGACCCACCTGTCCTTTCACTGTGGAAAGTCTAATAGACCCTTGAGAGCTGTACTACCATCTGTAGCTTCCTAAATGACTCCTTTCAGCCGGGATTTCACATACACACAAAAATAGGAAGTGGGGCACGGGCAGCTCAGAGTGACAGAGCGCCAGCATGGTGGGGGCGGGGGGGAATGTGGTGGCGGACAGGGAGGCTGATAGCCATGGATGGAGGGAAGCAGCATGCACATCCAGTGTGCTCTTTCCCAGCGTCCTGACCACAGAGTGCAGCCTTGGGATCCTCCCAGCATCCTCAGCCTGGATAGAGGCCACATCTGTACCTACCTCCATTTCCAGCCCCTCTCCCCTTCTGGAAGGATGGGTGAGGGGTATGGTGGAAAGTTCCAAACTTCTATTCATGGTTTGGTCTTTCTTGTGACCAGCCCCCATCCAGGAGCCCACCAAGAGTCACCTCATTAGGACTCAAGATGTTCCTACCAGCCAGGAAATTCTAAGGGATTTAAGAGCTCTATGTCAGTAACTGAGATCAGACACTAAATGTTAGAACAAATGTTGGCACCCCCATTCATAAGGGTTTTAGGAGCTCTGTGCCAGGAACCAGGGGTCGAGACCAGTATATACATTTATCATTTCACAGCAGTGTATCATATTCCTTAGTTTCCTCCAAACGCTTGGGTCCTCTTTTGTATTGGAATAGAAAAAAAAAGAATGGTTGAGCACTATTAGTAAATGCATTTTACTAGAAAGGAGATACTCAGGAAGTGAGCCTTGCTCTTGAAGACCAGGTGATGCAGCCAGCACCAGGTGGCTAAGCCCAGATGTCCTTCATAAAGGTCTCTCTCTAGCTTCTGCAGAAACATCCCTGTGACAGGGAGGAGCTGGGGAGGAGGTGACTCCTACTGGGAAGGTGACACGCAAAATTGCAGCACTTTCCTAAATGCGATTATATTTCAGTGTTCTCAGAATGGCGCAGATCAGACAATAGAAATAAGAGGTAGCAAAGACCTACTCTGGGGTGGAAGTACAGATTCCAAATTGGGGACGTCTTTCACCACATTCCAGCTGGACTTTCTTGCCCTCTGTTCTGGATTGGATGTCTTTGGTTGCAGGAATATTACACTTCACTCACGTTGGCTGAAATAGGAATAGGGATTTACTTAAAGGTAGGTGGGCTTCAGAGGTGGTTTGACTCAGTGACTCAGTGACTTGTCCAGGACGCTGAGTTCTTCTTTTTCCTTGCTCTGCCCACCATGAATCAGGATCACTCCCTTTGTAGTTGCAGGATGGCTGCCAGTAATTTATGGCTAAGAGCTTCCCCTTTCCACTTTCAGTTTAGAAGGAGCGAGCAGGGATGCTTCTTGTGGAAAGAGCATCTTTTCCCAGCACCCCCTCGGGTCTCCGTTGGATTTCCTGGGCTCTCTGGAGTCAGTAGGTGGAGCTGGGTGATCCTGACCCAAGCACCATGCCTCAGAAATCTGCGGAATCAGGTTCCCCCAGACCCAGAGCTGCGAAGGGAGATGCGGATCTGGAATAAAGATCAGGTAGCCACCAAGCAAAGGGTAGATGTTGGGTAAGAAGCTGCAACTCTCACTGCTCTTTCTGTAATCTGCTGAGTCCCATGCTAGCCTCATAATTGTAGTTTTCTACCAGAACGTCGGAAGTTGTCATCTTTGAAATATTACTTTCTACTGCTTCGTGACTCTTAAATCTTCTTTGCTCCCTCTCCCCTCTCCCTTCCTTTTCCCCCTCTTCTTTCCTCTTACCCCCTCCCTCCTTTTCTTCCGTTTTCTTCTGGCTTCTCCTTTCTCCCCTCTTTCTCTCTTTCTCCTACTTCCTCCCCTTCTCCTCCTTTCCCTCCTCTACCTTTTGGTCTCTCCTCCCCCCCAGTTGTTGACCTCCACCCTTCATTAATGATCTAGTTATTTATTTAAGTTAACTAAATTGGTTTGGTGCAATGTAGTTGCTCACTAAATAGAATGCCTTTCTATTTGCTCCCCCCAGGAAGAAGAAATGCCAGAAGTAGAAATTGACATTGATGATCTTCTTGATGCAGACAGTGAAGAAGAGAGAGCTTTAAAATTACGGGTAAGCAGCTTTCAAAATCTAGAACTTGCCAGTCTTGGATGCTTGAATTGGCTTGAGTCTCCAGAACCTGGCATACACTGATCCTGCCCTAGGGCAGTGTTAGCTCCAGGACTTGAGCAACGGCAGTTTGCTGAGAGGAAAGCAGTGGGGTGCTAGGTATCCGTCCCCCTGCACTGCGTCTCTGATGGTAAAGCAGGCCTTGAATCTACCGGGTCAGTTCTCAAACCACCTACCAGGTATGCGCTTCCGTAGCTACCTCTTCTTGGAGAAAGAGCCGGTTCTGCTTCCAGAAATTCATTTGCCAGGAAAGGAAGCGATGCTCCACAGTTATGTGAGAGGAAGAGATGCTGAGCCAGACCCAGAGTACCCAAACCCAGGACTCTGGTCTCACGGTTGTGGATTATTGTCACCCATGGAATCAGTTTCTAGAGAAGATCGTTTACAATCTAATAAAAGACATATTATTAGAGTATGCTCACCTGGTAGCCTTCTAGTACACCAGTGGATGTTGAGCTGTCTCCTGTTTCCTCAGTCCAGAGCAAATCGACATTTATTTCCTTTCTCACAGGAGGTCAAATCTATCATTTTAAAATTTGCATTTGGGAGTTTCTAAAACCAATTAGCTTCTGACCTGTCATTGTTCTTAATGTTCACTGATAATTACTGTTAACGGCTGTTGGTCATCACCAATGGCAAGTCATCTCTAAGGGCAATTAAAGGGCACATTTTATTTTATTTTATTTTATTTTAAAGATTTTATTTATTTATTCATGAGAGACAGAGAGAGAGAGAGAGGCAGAGGGAGAAGCAGGCTCCCAAGGAGCAGGGAGCCCAATGCGGGACTCGATCCCGGGACTCCAGGATCATGACCTGAGCCGAAGGCAGACGCTTAACCATCTGAGCCACCCAGGCGCCCCTAAAGGGCACATTTTAATGTATTAATGTGTTCAATGTGTTAATGATTACTTGTGTCCCTCATGTGGTGAACAGTCTCAGCTTAATGATTATTTCTTGTTTGTAAATTTAGTTGGGACATGATAGCATCTAGTTACAAAAGTTAAAAAACAATAAAGCAGGCACCAGATCTGTACAAAATGTAATGACATATAAAAGGTTTTTTAAAATTGAGAACTTCAAAGGGGCTTTAGCTACTTAGGCCATCCGCTTTGGTTTCCAGGTGGGGACACTGAGGCCTGCAGAGGTGTGACAAGGTGGTTTGTGGTTGAATTGCAGCCAGGCCCCTGGCTTTCCATGTCAGGGGTGATTATTACCATTTCCCACAGGCTGTCTCAACTTAAGCATATGCAGTTTATTATTAAGCAGTTGGTAGGCCAAAGGGAAGGCGCACGTGTGTTCTGAATTCGTGCCTAGGAAGGTACAACTTTTGATATCTTCAAGATGACCCAACGGGTGCTGAAATAAAGTGCGATTCTAGATTGTTGATATGAAATCTGGATTTACCATGTGTAGAATAACACCATGAAGATAAAATGATTTTTAATTGATACTGAGTTTTCAAATAATCAAACTTACCTTCTGTGTATTTCATTCTAGGAAGCTCTTGTAGACTGCTACAAACCAACAGAGGTAAAGAAATCGCTTTTCCTAAATGCCGTGTTTGAATTCATTTTTATTAAACCAATTTGTGTATTTTTAAAGCCAAACAACAATACATGGTTTGGTTAGTGATTATTATCCATAAGTGAAATGCATGCTTGACTACTATTAACTTCCTTAAATGAATGCCCAAGCATACCTGGTTCAGGAAGACTTAAAACTAATGGAATTGGGTGTGTTGCTTGTCTTTTTTTTTTTAATTCTTTATTTAAATTCAATTTAGTTAACATATACTGTATTACTAGTTTCAGGGGTAGAATTTAGTGATTCATCAGTTGCATATGACACCCATTACATCAAGTGCCCTCCTTAATGACCATCACCCAATTATCCCTAAAAGCCAAATTCAAAGGTAATTGTGAGAGGGTTTGGACTCATTTCAGTAAAAGTGTTAGATTTATAACTGGAGAATACATTCTTTTAGTATATAGATATGCATTTTTAAGAAGCTTAAAGTGGAATCTGTCATTCAGAAGAATTGTCTTTATTGGAAGAAGAAATTTTATGCTTTGTGTATTTATCATCAAGTGGATAAATATTAGTATAAAAAACAGTGGGTATTAGTTTGATTAGACCAAAGCATTTAAGGTATATTCCAAAGAGTGAAAGCATGGTGTAGAAATTAAGGATTTGATCAGTCATGAAAAGATTGGTAAAGGAAGTCCTTTTCATTTGTTCCTGTGATAAATCAGAGAAATTAGAAGATCCATCAGATGTTTTTTGCAACATCAAAGCAATGGTGGTAGGACTTCTGATTTTTTGAAGTGATATAATTACAAAGTGAGAGGAAAGCATACTTCCACAAGAGTGTGTAAGATTAAAATGACTAGGGTGTTTTGTGATCATTTGGCTTGAGACCAATTACTTATTTGAGCCTTATTCTTATAGTCTCCAGTGTTCCTTTATGCTGATTGTGTCTTGCAGTCATAGAGATTTTTAATTCTAATTTTAAAATTATAAAGTTATTAAATATATTTTTTAATTAATGTAGTATATACTCATAGTTTTGAAAGCCAAAAATACAACTAGGCTTATAAAGGAAAAGTAACATTGCCTTTCCTATTCTTCAGTCCCTCTTCCTAAAGGTATATATTTTATATTTATATTTTATATTCAAATAGTTTTATACATCAATACTTTTGGCTGTTTTCCTACTATTTACTCTTGTATTCCTAAATATGCAATTGCTATTTATTTTTTTCATTTATTGGCTTAAAGGGAAATATGATAGCTCTCTCACTCTCCACATAATTCATTTCCCTTCATCCCCTTAATAAAGTTATTGACCAGAATTTTGTTGAATCAATGGTCAAGGTTTATAGTATTATTATTTAAACAGATATTTTTCACTGCTAAGCCAAACAGTGAAATATGACCATGTCTCCTTTTCTGTATAGCTCTTTGTTTTTCCTGGAATTGATAGTTTCTTGTCTTTTATTTTTGTCTAGTACCTATTGCTATTTTTTGTTGAACTCTCCAATATCTTTGTTAAACATGTAGTATCTTTTCTGTATATTCAAACCTGTCATTACTATGCCCCCACCCCAGGCTTTCCTCCTGGTGCCCCTATGCAACAATCTGGAGAAGTTATTCTCTGGGTCTATTGAGTAGCTACTGTAATAAGATTTTTGTTCACTGTTGTCCTGTTAGATACTTTGTTTCTTAAGTCCCAATCTTCCTCATTTTTGTGGGAGTACATCCTCCAGTAGCTTTTTGGGAAAAGATGCATAGAAGGTAAATGTTTTGAATCTTTTTATGAATGAAAATGTATCTTGATTAATAGTTTTGATGATATAGAATTCTGGGATAAAATTTATTATTAAAACTCAATTTTAAGGCATTATCCTATTTTGTCATTTCTCATATTAAAAAGTCTGATGCCACTTCCATTCTCAGAGCTTTGTATGTGACCTATTTTTCCCCCCTCAATTAACTTTAGGATTATCGCCACACTTTGAAATTTTACAGTGATATGCCTCAGTGTGGGTCCTTTTTTTATCATGTGCTGGGTACTTTGCAAACTCTTTTAGTCTGAAGATATATGTCTTTCAATTCTTAAAAAAATATTATTTATTTATTATGATTTTTTATCAGTTCCTTCCTCAGTGTTCTATAATATTGGCTCTCCTGTTACTTAGATGTTACATCTTTTAGATGGAGCCTCTGATTTCTTATCTTTTTCCTTTTGTTGTCCCTCTCCTTGATATTTTGTTCTGCTTACTGAAAGATTTCTGACTTTATTTTCTAGTCCTTTTATTGATATTTTAAAATTTCATCTGTTTTTTTTTTAATAGTTAAGAGCACCTTCTTGTTCTCTGTTCACTATTTTGCTTTACTATTTCTTCTTGTTTCATGGACACATTTTATAATTTTTTTTCTCTTTGAGGATATTAATCAAATGTTTAATTTCTGTTTTTATTTTTAAGATTTTTCTGCTCTCTGCATTGTCTCTGTTTTCTCTGAATCTCAGTTTTTTTCTTTCTGTTTTCATCTGTCTTTGCTGATTTTTTGGCAGTGTGTCCATGAGTGTTAGGAGCCAGTAAACTGATTGAATCTGTGTAACATGAGCACATCTTGTCTATTGGTGGGTCTCACCATGGATGACCAGGTTGCAAATCAAATTTTTTTTTTAGTGGTGTGTGTGTGTGTGTGTGTGTGTGTGTGTGTGTAGGAAGTGGTCCCCACTCAAAATGTTGCTATTTGGACATCTTTTTACGAAAAGATTTGGGTTTTGTTTTTGTTTTCTTAAGAGTTTGACTATCTAAACTTCTTGAGGAGTTAATAGTTTGATTAGAGGCTTTCTGGAAACAAGGACAGGATGGAGGCAAGAGACCTCACCATTAGGTTTTTTGGGAAAAGAACCTATTTATAGTTATCTGGGGGAATTAATATAAGAGTTAAATTAATTAGGGGTGCCTGGGTGGCTCAGTTGGTTCAACATCTGCCTTTAGCTCAGGTCATGATCTCAGGGTCCTGGGATCGAGCCCTGTGTTGGGCTCTCTGCTAGGCGGGGAGTCTGCTTCTCCCTCTCCCTCTGTGCTCTCCCCATCTCTCTCAAATAAATATATAAAATATTTTCAAAAAAGAGTTAAATTAGTTAGATATTTAGAGACTTATATTGTTGTGAAAGGTTAAACAAGAATAGTAAAATAGTCAAGAAAGGTGATAGATTGTATCACTGAATTCACATGTGATGTGGGGGTAGGAGGGTTGCTGCTGAGAGTAGATCCAGACGGGTAGGTGTAGACATGCCATTTACTCACTTAATCATTCCCTTCTTCTTCGCTTCTCCTCCTAGTGGGACAGTTCATGTTCTGGTATTTAGGTAAGAAAGGTTCGACTTTCATGAGCCCTATTCTCTTCCAGTTGTTTCAGTATCTAGGAAGCAAAACATTCATACTTGTTAACAGCCATGCAGTTGAATGAAAATGGTGAGTCTTGCTTCCCCCAGAACAAAAGTATTCCTTATCTGGTTTTTATAAGGAGTTTTAAAAGATGAAAGATGTAATATTTGAATACTCTTTGGAGTTCCAAAGGAAGAAAGAAGGAAAGGTGTTTACATGTGAACATCTCTGTGTTCTTTAGCTCATGGTTTCTAGAAATGGAAATGGTGAAAAATGCTAAGGAATTTCAGTCAAGTTCATTCATCCATTAAAGGGGTCATTTCAGAAAAGGTTGGCAGTGGGTTATGATGATAAAAATTATAGCTTATTATTTTCCCAAAGCTCTAGAGTTCGCATCACTGTAACAAGCACTATCTTATTTAATCCTCACAATCGTGACTTGAAGAAGAAAGTTAGGTTATCTTGTCTATGATCTCACAGCAGTAAGCAAAGGGAGGACTCAACCGCAAGTTTCAGAACATCTCATCTTGTGCTCATTCTTTCCCCCTGCCTGGCTTCCTAAGCTACTTGACTTAGAAAGACATTTAGGACATTAAAGGACTTTGTCCTATCTCAAATAAGTGCCTACCAATTAACAATGTTCTTTTTAGAGTAGTCCTCTCTGAAGGTGCTATTTTTTGATCAAAGGATTTTGCATACAATTTTATGTCACTTTGAAGTTACAAATGTAAAGAAGACGTCTTTGCTGAATCAGGGACATTTATTTATAGTCTTGCTGAGGTGGGGGTGGGTGATGGGAAGAGTGGACTTTAAGACAAGAGTCTTTTTTTAAAAAATTTATTTATTTATTTGAGAGAGAGAAAGAGAGAGTGCACATGCGAGTGGGGAAGGGGGAGAGGGAGAAAAATCCTCAAGCAGACTCCCTGATGAGCATGGAACCCCACCCAGGGCTTGATCCCAGGACCTTGAGATCATGACATGAGTCAAAATCAAGAGTCAGATGCTCAACTGACTGAGCCACCCAGGCACCGTCTAAGACAAGAATTTTATGTGAGCACCAGCACTACGTATGTGTGACTTTCAGCGATTTTCTCAACCTCTCTGCGCCTCCATTTCCTCCTCTATAAAATGGAGGTAATAACCACCTCTCCAGGTTTTAGTAACAATTGTTTGCACTGATAATTTTAGAGATAGTAATAACAATAATAATAGCTAAATAATTACTAAGCACATGTTAGGGACCGATCTAAGTATATCACATATATTAACTTATTTCTTCTTCACAAAAAAACTGTGAGGTTGACACTATTGTTATCAGGAATTTGAGACATTGAAGGGCTATGTCATTTGTCTAAGGTGATATAATTAATAATTGGACAAGTCAGGATATGCACAAAAGCACATAGCATAAAGCTTGACACATGCTAGTCGAATCTGGTTCTATATAAGGTAGTACTTCTCCATTCCATATTAAATATGCAAAATGCCCCAGTTTGCCAATGATGATATTCTTGAATTATTCAATTTGAAGAGTGCACTTTAAAGAACTTGCTAATTTCACAGAAGTGAATGTTTTTTTGTGTTGTCAGATGATTTGGGTCCATGGTTTCATTTTATGTGGGACCCTGGCTAATCAGAAAAGAACTTGTATTTTCTCATTTTGATTCAGATTCCTAGCTGTGGACTCCTGATGCGCAAGTCTTTTCTGACTTGGACCTTTCAAAACATAGCAATATAATTGTGGTCACCACACTAATGTATTTGTGGTTGATTAGGAAGAATGGTGTTTTAATTTTTTCCCCTTGAGTAAATGACATTTCTGATGTAGCTGATATTAAAATAGAGCTGATGTAAATGTAGAAAAATAATGTTTCTATATAATGCAAGAAGAAAAGGAGTAATTTAATTTTGGCTAATATTTGGATTTGAATGATCAGGAGTGGCAGCCTGGTGGACATTACAGAAATCTGAGGTGAGGTGTTGGAGCCAGCTAGCCAGGCTAGGGAGAAGCTTCTTTTCCTATTTCTCATTATTACTTTGCATGGTTTTCAAATCTTAGGATCACATAGGAGCACTCCCATTGTACTGATATGGTGGACAGAAAATGCATTTAATATGGGCTTGAGGGCATCTGTCTTACCATCTGTTAGGGGAGTTGTCAGTCTGGTCAATGGACTCATAGAAATCACTTTTTATAGTTGATGATGGCTGTGCCATTGTTCTCTGATAAACATCATATTTTTTTCCTGTGCATTTAGCAATCAGAGCCTGTAGGTTGATATGCATCAGGGTTTTATGCAGGATGACTAAATCTGTGAGTAGGTGGTGAGAGGCATTTCTGGATCCCAGTAATGTGTCGGGTCACAGAAATGTCACGGACACACAATGGTGCAGGAAATGGATGTCTGATCGTGGTTTGCAATAGAAATTGACCAGTGGTTTTGGAAAGGCAGGATTGCTCTGTTCTCCCCGTGATGATGGTAGGAAGGCAGGATCTCCTTCTTTCGCCATGCTGTCATGGTGACTGCATCTCACTTTTCTGACCGACTTTTGTGGGGGCCATTGTTAACTCATCCTGCTCACATC